CTGCATTTCTAACAAGCTCTCAAGTGATGCTAATGTTGCTTGTTCCCAGGATTATGCTGTGAGTAACAAGATTGTATATGATATGCCCTCTCCCCTACCACCTGGCCCTCTACTTCTCTGATTTTGTTATACTTCTGATATTATACTTTATTTCTGACTCATATGAGCCTCCTTCATAGCCTTAGAACATCCAGGCATGCTTCCACCTCAGGGCCTTGGCATTGGCTTACCCTCCATCTGAAAACATATCACCCAGATAAACACCTCTCTGTCTCTTTCCTACCTGCTTTAAGTCTTTTTTCCAATGTCATTTTCTTTATTTTTAATTTTTTTTAAGAGACAGTGAGGGAGGGGGCAGAGGGAGAGAGAGAATCTTAAGCAGGCTTCACCCTGAACATGAGGCGAGGCTGGGATTATGATCTGAGCTGAAATCAAGAGTTGGCCACTCAGCTGACTGAGCCACCCAGGAACCACCCTCCCCACCCCCAGTGTCATTTTCTTAGTGAAATCTTCCATGGACATCTGATCTAACAAGGCAGACCATCTCATTCTTGTCCCCCCTTTCCCTCTCCTACTTTATCTCCTTATCACATCACTACTGAAATATAACACATTTGTTTATCATCTGCCTTCTCCACTGGAATGAGAACTCTGTAGAGACATTTTATTTTCATTTATGTTTACTCCAGTGACCAGAATACTGGCTGATACATAGAAGGTGCTCAATAAATAATTGTTGAATGAATGCACTAAAAATTCCAGTTATACTTTTCACATACATTTTTCTACTTCTGCAAAAAACTCTGGGAAGAAGAAGATGGAAACAAATTTGTTCTAGTTTAATTAGGCTGGTCTGATACAGGTGAATATCTCCCAGAAGAGCAGATCAGAACTCATTTACTTAATCCTCATTTATACAGCTTTCTTTGGTACGAGCAGAACGATGTTAGAAGAGATCAAGTTCTACCTTCAAGTGAGAGAAACTTAATAAGACTAGTAGCACAATTAAGAACAAACACAAGCTGAGACATTAATGGTATCTATTTAAAGCTATAATTAGGATTGTTTGCACAATGATGCAGGCTTTCCTGGAAGGCAGTTACTATATATATGAATTGTTGTCAAAGATGCTGTAGAAGACGTTTGGCCTTTTGTGGAAAATTGACCTAGAAAACTGCTATGGTCTTTTCTGCCTGAACAAATTAGAAACTGATGACTGAGAAGAGGAAGCTGCTATGTGGGATATGCAACACCAGATGCTCAAGGAAGAATCCACAAGCACATTTCATGTGTCACAGTTCTCAGTCTTATAAGCTCCCAGTGAGCTTTAGCAGGTGGGAAGGTTATTGTTTTGGTTGGTTGGTTCTATGTTTTAAGAGAAGCTGGCCAAGACCTAGCAAATTGAACCAAAAGACATCTTATTGTTATTACCTATTTTCTGTGTAATCGATTTTCAGCTGTCTCTGATTTTGGTTGAAAGAATATATACCACAAGTAAATTTCACTTTGGTATTTTCTATTATGAATTCATAAAGACATTCTTCACTACCTCGCTAATAAATCAGAAAACGGAATAAATATGGCACAATACTAGGTGTCACTATTTACAATTTTAAATCATAAGCTCTCTTTATCAGTAGACTATCAGAGAATAGAAATTGTTCTTTTCTACTTCTTTCATTAATTATCCTTTTCATTATGGTACAATTTTAACTTGACCTTAGGAGATATTCAATAATAAAGTTTTGTAGTTACAAATTAGTCACATTTACATTCTCTCAGGTAATCTTAAAGATCATTTTATGAGCTTAAGGCTCTAATCATACTATTTATTGATGCTTCTAAATATATATTTAAAAATGTACTTTTTAAATAATGAAAAAGGATCATATGAAGTAGCAATCCTTATCAACATGATGAAAATCCTGGGGCCCAGAGATTTTTAAGCAACTAGCCACATTTACACATTTTAGTTTAAAAAATAAACTGTATTCAAACAAAGGTTGACAGTCCTGCAAAGTTCAGGCTTTTAATTCCCACACTGTGATCAATGTACAGATGAAGAGAGTGAGTTTCACAGAAGCTGAGTGACTTGCCCAAAGTTATACACCTAAGAACTGGAAGAACCAGGAAAAAAAAGTAGATGGATTTTTTTTTCCCTAGGAACAGGGTTCCATGAAGATCATAATAATTTTTTTTTAATATATAACATTCAATAATAGCATTAGAAACACTAACCTAAGTTGAAAGGTGATGGAATAGCTACATATTTAAAGAAAAATAAATGGCTAAGTCTAAAAAATAAATAACCCATATTCTTAGCACAGGATGTAAAATTATCAATAGCCTAGACTAAAACGGTTTTATTGCACAGAATCTCTGATTGAAATTTTCTCAGTGTGGATATTTATACTTTCTTTTTACATATACACAACTGTCAAATTAAATTCTACATGGCTAAAAGACATAAAGGTAAAAAAGAAAAAAGAAACAGAAAATGTAGGAAACTGTATATACTTTGAAAAGGAGATGTTTTCTTAGACAATTCTGAAGACTTTGGAAGATGTAGATGTATATTTTAATACATACATGACCATTTACAGCTTCTGTGTGCCATTTGATATCTTATAACATTATGATTTATTTTTTTATTTTGGAAATGGCCGGATATGGGAAGTGTACCCAGTTTCTCTTATTACAAAGAATGGAAGGTATATGGGGTGTGTGTGTGTGTGAGAGAGAGAGAGAGAGACAGAAAGACAGAGAGAGAGAGACAGAGAGAGAGAGAGAAAGAATATAAGAATAAAACAAGGCCTTGTCTACATGTAGCCACTTGACTGACTACCTCTGAAATTTATGAGTCGCTTATGGTCTCACTATTTCCACTCTTTGCATACTCTTACTCAATCCCCATACATCAGCTATAGAGACCTTCTTGAAAGGTAATAATGGATCACAATATTCCTCTATTTTAGTAGCGTTTTTTCCCCATCCAAAAAAAAAATCCAAATTCCTAACTAAGGGCAACCAGGTCCTTAATGATCTATCCCATTACTAACCTCCTTCCATGTTCTCTCATTTGACATGTTCCAGTTCATGTTGATTTTAAACTGGCTTTATCCCCTCAGGCATTTGCCTAGGCCCTGCCCCCTCTTCTACGTGAACAGCTCCTGATCAGGCACTGGTCACTAATATTTTATCTCCTCAGGGAACTCTACTTAATCACTCTTCTTCAGGTAGATGTTCTCTTTAATTTCTATAAGAGTAGTCATGTTTTTTTTTTCCCATAGCATTAAACATAATTTAAATCATTTTGTTTGATCATGTATTTCAGTTTTTTTTTTCTCTCTCTCACCAGACTTTATATTTCACAGATCCCATGATCATTGATCTGTGGTGGAGTTATCCTCAGCTCCTAGATCAGTGCTTGGTACACAATTGTTGCTTACCAAATGCTATATGAAAAAATGAATAAAGAAATAATGAGTGAATACATATTTTTAAATAAAAATTTTAAAAGATTTTTGGAGAAAAAAGTGAATTTTATCTGAAATGATATGTTATAGAAAGAGGTTGTAAAGTATGGAGAGCTTTTGCTTCTAAAATAGAAGTATAAACTATGAATATACTCATACTCAAGAAAACAAAATTCTTCTTAACAATTAATAGCATGAAGGAAAGTAACTTTCCTAAAAACTACTTAGGATTCTTATTCTGTGGTTTAAATTCATTCATAACTTATGTGTATCTAGTAAATAATAAAATGTGAACCCACCATTTTCCTCAGACAACATATAGGTCCACTCACTCACCCATTCTCACCCAACCTCCACATCCTCCTAGTAATTGTGGAACTTCTAGAAGCCAGTGGAGTTTAGAATCAATTCTTGGGTCCAGGGAAAGGACCTTAATATAATAAGGGTAAAGGAGTTAGAGGCCATTGCTAACATTTCAAGGGCATTGACATCCTAATGCATCATTAGTACTTGGAAAGAGGTTTATATCAGCATCATTAGCTTTTAAAATAATGATATTAACTAGGTTCACTCTAGGGAAGCATAATATTAGCAGCAGCAGATAAAGGACATCATATGAAAAGGCACAGAATAATACTAGAATCTGTGGCAGAATATTTTCTATAGCCATCAAAACATTCTCCAACAAGGAACTCAGACATGGGGTCCAAATTATTCTGCTGTGGAAGGTTATAGAGAAGAAGTGTATACCATCCTTGTTGCTGTAATTGATGTTTATTCATTCATTCATTCATTCATTCATCCCACAATTATTTACTGAATGTCAACCACTGTGACTTTCACTGTGCTAGCCACTGGGATAATTTTAAACAACAATCATTCAGTTCCTTCATGCAGATTGATGGGGCTTGAGGAAGATAAGATTACATCTATATACGTATTTATAAACCACAGCCCAGAATAAAAACTAGCTTTATGTTTTACACAAAGGACTCCTTCCTAACCCTTTTTACTCCCTGATAAAATACCTTCTAAATGATGGTTACTTAAAGTAAGATATAAATATTTTCATTTTTGAAATAGAAACAGACATTTGTAGGAACCTTATTTATTGACAAGATTAACTTTTACCCACCACATAATCATACATAAAGATAAGGTTTGCATCTGAAAACAAATGCAGGGTAGGCAGTACCCCAAAGTCATTTGAAAGAATTGGATAACCTTAATGATATTTGGAATGGGACTTGTAAAAACTTTTTCAGTCTTCATGTCCTGGCTTATGTCTTCTGGCTTTAGATTTCCACTGGAGACAGATCCAGTAGACACAGCACAGAAAGCTTTGAATTCCCTCTGCTCAAGCAATGTGTCAACTCAAAATCCTTAAATCAATAGTAGGTATAATTTAGCTACAAACTACATGTCAATGTTAAAATTAATAAGAAAAAAAAGAAATAAACCAATCTCAATGTAGAGATTTCAATATGGGAGACAAAATAGTGGACTCTGAATGAAGAACAGTACCTTTTGAATGCCTGCTTGGGATTCCAGAACGTTATTCTCTGATCCGTTGCTTCTGTTGATCATCCGCCACATTTGGGAATACATGCTGTCCCTTTCAAAAGGATTCATTCCCTTCATCCGGACATGTTCGTATACTGCAGAGTCCAGTACTGTGCCGTAAGGGATATCTGTTTGCTTGGAAAGGTCCTGGAGAGATCTTCATTATTAGGAGAGAAGAAAGACACAAGAAAGAGTACTGAACACTTTCAACTGGAAATAAAGTTATAGAAAGCAGAGTATAATATATGTAAGTATAGATGTCAGGTTGATTTTCTTATTTTGTGGTTTCTTAACATTAAAATTTAATATATAAGGAGAATTGCTGTTAGGGTGTATGACCCTTCCACGAATCATTAGAAGACCAAGTCATTAGTAAAAGAGAAATGAAAATTTCTAGTGGTAAGGCAATGCTTTTTTTATGTGAACATCACTGTGAAAAGAACAAAAACAAAACTAGACAATCATATAATCATTTAGTTTTAAAAAGTTCAATACGTTATAAGCCTTAAGCTTATATTCTTTTAGGTGTCAATGCTTAAATATTTTTATAAAATAATTACATTTTGCATAAACAGCATATTTTGAGGTCAAGTGTATACTTAAAAATTAGTATTTATGATAGTCACTACTTAACAAGTGGCAATTCCATACATGCAGCACCTGAAATACATTATTCTCACAGCAATGTCTCATTTTCAGAAATATTTCACCCATTTAATAGATGAGAAAACATAGGTTGAGAGTATTAAAATCTTGCTCAGTGTGGCACAGTCAGTGAGGGATCAGACATGTTTCAGATATAGATCTGACTGGCTTCAAAGGCTATAGTATTTTTACTGCAAGATGTTGCCTCTTATTTCTATATTTCTTTTGCTGTATTGCCTTTAAGTTTGTGTGTGTGCATGCATGCGCCCGCCTGTGTGTGTGTGTGTGTGTGTGTGTGTGTGTGTGTGTGTGAGAGAGAGAGACAGAGAGAGAGAGAGAGAGAGAGAGAGAGAGAGACTTCTATTTGTACTCAAATAGAGTAAAATTCATGCTTCTGGAAAGCTAAATATATTTCCAGCTTCCTCTCTTGCAGAATAATGTTCGGGATTTTCAAATCAATCTCTATGTTATAGATAGTATCTGTTTGTCCTAGGTTGTTCATATCTAAATTGGTGGTCAGTTTCCTCACATTTCAGTTTCTGAGCCACACTATACTTTCTAACTTGGAGAACCAATTACTGTTCCACTGAAATTCATTGGTTTTGTGTAGGTGCTCAACTCTACTGACTGAGTTTTAGGAACAAATATATCTTTGGCATTCTGCTCAAAAGTAGACGCCGGCATATTCAAACTCACTACATTCTGAGAATGGCGGCAGTTGCTTTGCAACACTACACCATATTTTGAATAAGAATACTCACAGCCCTCCACAAATAAGGTTCATGAATCTCATGTTATATATACACCTCTGACCTTTTGGTTTGTTTCTAGATGGAATTCACTAACGACTTGCTGGGGGCCTTTGCAAACAACTCTAGCATTGGGCAAGGGTATTGAGATACTCTTGCAGGTCAACGGTTTCCATCATGTGCAAAACTGTATTCCAAACAATAAATTCTGGGCTGTGTTTGCTAGAGGAGGATTTGTGCCAATTTCTAATGACAACTTTCAGCAAAATTTGATCTATGTTTTATTGAATTTTAGGTTGTTGATGTATGTTATTTACTCGATGGAAACTACCATGATAATTCCTGTTTGTTCCTATACATCTGCTGCATAAAATGATGCATTTAAAAATCACTATTTCCAAGGAAAAATTTTCTGGAATATTCTACAACTATTAAACTAATTCTACCACTTGTAAAAGGATAAAGTAACAGTATAAAAATGAAGGCAATAGTGGAATTAAAAGTGAGCTACACGTAGCCAGGATGCAAGCTAATATCGGAGTGACAGGGCATTTGCTCCTGGGACATGCCATGCTTATTTTGTTAACAGTATAGCAATAAGAATTTTATTTCCATCAGACACCAAAAGGAAATCAAAGGCATCAGAATTGGCAAAGAGGAAGTCAAACTTTCACTCTTCGCAGATGACATGATACTCTACATCGAAAACCCGACAGACTGCACCAGAAGCCTACTAGAACTGATCCAAGAATTCAGCCAAGTTGAAGGGTACAAAATCAACGTACAGAAATCCGTTGCATTTTTATACACCAACAATGAAGCAACAGAAAGAGAAATCAAGAAACTGATCCCATTCACAATTGCACAAAAAACCATAAAATACCTCGGAATAAACCTAACCAAGGATACAAGAGATCTGTATGATGAAAACTATAGAAAACTTATGAAGGAAATTGAAGAAGACACAAAGAAATGGAAAAACATTCCATGCTCATGGATAGGAAG